ATGGAAGCGTTAAAGGTCGGCTGAATTATTCATAGTTTCTTGATGAATATGGAACATTTTTAGTGCTGAGCAATGAGCAATAAAAGCAGAGAGTTCTGAATTGGCACGTCTTCTTTTGCGTTTTTTTATATCCCTCGCTGCTCCTTGAAGCTCCGCCCCCTTTTTCTCCGGAGACTCCGCCCACTTTCTGTCCGATGAGCAATCAGAGAAAAATACGATAAACAAGCCGGATTATAATCGAAAAGGAGCACTTTTGATGAAAAGAAAATGAATTAAATAATGGGATTTGTATTTACTTTTTTGAATTGGTAGGGAATATTTTACGGTATATATATATATATGGTATCCATGGTATCTATGGTAGCCATGATACCGAGAATTCAACGGTACGGTCGTTATTGACGACGTGGGTTTTGGACAGTAGAGTTGGTCCTGGAAATATGGTATCTATGGTATCTATGGTATCTATTGTATCCATGGTATCTATGGTATCTATGGTATCTATGGTATCTATGGTATCTATGGTATCTATGGTATCTATGGTATCTATGGTATCTATGGTATCTATGGTATCTATGGTATCTATGGTATCTATGGTATCTATGGTATTTATGGTATCTATGGTATCTATGGTATATATGGTATCTATGGTATTTATGGTATCTATGGTATCTATGGTATCTATGGTATCTATGGTATCTATGGTATCTATGGTATTTATGGTATCTATGGTATCTATGGTATCTATGGTATCTATGGTATTTATGGTATCTATGGTATCTATGGTATATATGGTATTTATGGTATCCATGGTATCCATGGTACCTATGGTAGCTATGGGTTTTTTTAAAAGATTTGTGGGCGTTTTGAGTTCTTGAACTTTTTAGATTATCTAAATGTCCGGATTTATAGGTTTTTTTTCGGAATTTAAAGAGTTTTGGGATTTGACGTATTTTGAAGTTTTTTTTCACATTTCTAGGTTATCTGGATTTTTCATTTTTAAAAGTATTTTCAAGGCCTGTTTTTCGGATTTTTGACAGATGTGTAATTTTTGGGTTTTTGGAACTTTTTAGGCTGTCTATAGGTACTTTCTTCTTGGTTTTTTTTGGATTTTCGAGCAAAGCTGTGCCACGGCCGGCCGCGGCCTCAGAAGCATTGCGTTTTCGGACTCTGGCATGTCTTGGATTTTTGGAAATTTCCAGTTTTTTTTTGAATTCCTTCGTTTTTTACATACTGTAATCCGGACGTTTCCCGTGCCCTCGCGGGTCCTGCCATAGTTTCTTTCAGAATCAAAATTTTTAGACCAACTAAAATGGATATGATAGAGCTCGACGAGTACTACAAAATGATATTATTTGGAATATTGTAACTTGTTTGCGAACAAAGTTACAGACCGTAAAGTGGCGTTTTTCGGACGTGCCGAGCCGAGCCGGGCCGGGTCTGCTTTTTTCGCTCTTTTTTGCCTGTAACTTTGTTTGCGTTACAGTATTCCGAATAATATCATTTTGTAGTACTCGTCAAGTTTTATCATATCCAATTTAGTTGGTTTGAAAATTTTGATTCTGAAAGAAACTATGGCAGGGCCCGCGAGGGCCCGGGAAAGGCCCGAATTACAAGTATGGTTTTTTAGATTATTTGGAACAAAGAATGTGTTTCCATCACAAATATTGTTTATCACATGTTGTAGATGTCCTTTTATCCGAATCTCTCAGCAGGAAAAAAAACAAATAAAGAAATGTCAGCAGCAACATTTTCATTCATACTAATCCTGGAAAAAAATAAATCCCCCAAGAATTAGTGACACATTGAAACGTTTTAGGACATGTGCCGGATATGTCGTAGAAACAGGGATTAGCACTTTTTTCTGGAGATTAATTTTTAATTTCGCTGATATTTGTGGAGAAAAAACATTAACGCATGAGCAAAATGTGCTCATTTTTGGGAAAAATGCAAAAAAAAAATCGAAAGTCTGAAAATTTAAATTTTGAGGACGACCACAATATTGAAGAATTAGGAAATTCGAAAATCCAAAAATATTAGAAAAAAAATCGAAGAGATTCCAATATTTCGATTCTGGAATTTCACATTTTTTTTTGAAATTTCAGATTTTTTGGAATTTCAGAAATTTTGAATTTCTCAATTTCTGAGATTCTGAAATTTTCTGAGATCTTGGAATTCAGACATTTTGAAAATCCGAAATTCCAAGATTCTGAAATTCTGAAATTCTGAAGTCCTGAAATACCGATTTCCCAAAATTCAAAAACTACAAAAACTCAAAAATTTCAAAAACTCAGAAATTCAGAAATTCAGAAATTCAGAAATTTAGAAATTCAGAAATTCAGAAATTCAGAAATTCAGAAATTCAGAAATTCAGAAATTCAGGAATTCAGGAATTCAGAAATTCAGTGTTTTCGGAATTTCAGAAATTCAGAAATTCTGAATATCTGAAATTCTGAAATTCCGAAAATACTGAAATTATATAATCCCAAAAATCTGATATTCAGTCTTTTCGTACAAAACCTCCCACTATTTTTTTTCAGAATGACCTGAAATTATTTTCAGCTCACTGTCTAATCCCGAGTCATAGTTTTTCAGAAATATCAGATTTTCGGATTTTCAAAAAAATATTTATTTTCTGAAATGGTTTTTCCCTTTTCAGACTTTTTGGAATGATCCTTTTAAACCGGTTTTCTATGTGGATCGTAGGATTTTCAGATTTTCAGATCACCATCTGAAAAAATTCATTTCAGAATTTCCGGGAAAAAATTTTTTCTGAACTTTTCGAATTAACAAACACATGTCATTTTTCTCTGAAAAACTAACAAAAAAAAAGAAAATCAAAAAATGTTTTATTAAAGTTCTACAATTTTGAAACATCATGGGATTTTGTGAAATTGGTCAACCGATGCTTCACTTGGTGCAGTTTTGCAAAATTGGTTCTCATTCCAGAGCTCTGCAAAACTTTATAATAATTTTTTATGGTATCTATGGTACCATAATGGTACTCATGGCACCATAATGTTATCCATATTACCTCAATGGTACCCAAGATATCATCATGGTACCATAATGGTATCCATGATACAATAATGCTATTCATGATACCATATCGTATAATGGGCATCATTATACGATTTCACGCCATGAGTGCCGTATGGTGCCCATGGTACGAATATGGTAATCATGGCGTCATAATGGCATGCATGGTACCGTATAGTACCATGGACACCAGATAAGGGTACCATATCACTCGCCGATTTCTCGAAAATTCCAAAATCAGTCAACGCAGCAAACGCATTTTTGATGGGTTCCGTGGATAGAAATGATAATCGGGTGTTGGGCAAACGGTTTTGGTAGGCGTCGCTGATGTCCTGGAATATGGGAATCATGGGTACCATGATACCATATCATTATAGCATTTCGATTTGATAAGTACCATAACTGTTATGGAACTATGGTACTATATAACTATGGTACCACATGACCATCAACACCATGGCACCATAGCGTGTCATATGGTACCACACTCACTTTCTGAACTGTCCCCACTAGCTCTCCCAAATCAGAAATCATGGGTTTCTTTTCGGAAAACACGCCAAACGCAATTTCGATATTATAAAAATATGGTAACACCAATTTGCTCAAAAAGTTTGCATTTTTCTTGTCCAGAATTTCCAGAATCCCATCTTCAGACGTCGTCAATATCTCAGAAGACGTTAGAATTTTCAAAGATTTCTCAAAAAGTTGAGGAAGTTCTCCAGGAATTGTGACAAATTCTCGTTTCATGAGATTGTGGAGCCAGCTGAAAATGGAGAAAAATCATGGGGTACTTATGGGGTAATGGTACCAAAACTCGTCTCGAACTTTTGTCAATTGTCGGAGACCATTATGGAGTAATATGGTACAGATGATTCCTTCACTGTCGACTGCATGGATCATCTGGAATATGGTGTCATAGTTATGAGAGCCATGGTACCATTATATAAGATAATGGTTGATTTGAAATGAACTCATAGGTACGGCCCCCTTGGGTACCATATGGGGCACCATATAGCACCATAAAACTTACCTATGGTATCTATGGTATCTATGGTATCTATGGTATCTATGGTATCTATGGTATCTATGGTATCTATGGTATCTATGGTATCTATGGTACTATGGTACTATGGTATCTATGGTATCTATGGTATCTATGGTATCTATGGTATCTATACTGCCGACTGCATGGATCATCTGGAATATGGTGTCATAGTTATGGGAGCCATGCTACCATTAAACAATGGGCAATTCAAAATCAATCCACATGTATGGCCCCCATGGGTACCATGAGGGGCACCATATAGCACCATAAAACTTACCCCATTAGAATAGGTAGTCAAAATCAATCGGCTAACGGCCCGCTCCATAACTTTTATGGGCACTCCTTGTTTTTCATGGTCCACTGGAAAATCGATAAATCTCAATTGGAAATTATCGGAAGCGACGTCGAATGGCTCGAATAAATCGGCATGCATATGGAGGTAGTACCTAAATAGTAATGGAGTAGAAATAGGATAATTTGGGTTTCTAGGCCACCTCAAGTTCTTGTCCAAATTCCCTTGAATATTGACAATGGCACCCAATTGGTTAAGTAGGGTAATTAAGTCCTCCACGCCGGAGTAGATACCAGAATAGGATAGAGTAGCCTGGTCGTCACGGTCAAAGGTCTGGAAACTGGTAACATATGGTAGCAATGACAGCCATATGGCCAAAGAAAAATTATACGGGTGTTTGTTGGCACCATCTGTTTTGGTACTATGAAATAGTCCATTTTCAGTACGAATGATTTCACTAAAGGGGATTGATATCGTCTTATGGGTGTCATGGGTACCATAGGTGCCATTATTGAATTTTTTATATGGTATCCTTCATGTTACCATTTAATCTTCCTGAAAATAAAATTTTGACACAATACATGGTACCAAACCATGAGAAGAATGATAGAGTACCATATGGTACTATGGTACTATGGGAATCATTAAGGTTTCAGTTTATGGTAACCATGTGGTACCCAAGGAATTCAATTCAAGGGAACCATATGGTACCGACTAAAAATGTCCATGGTAGTGAACTACAACCCACAAATTCTTGTTAGTATTTTATGGTAATATTGTAACATATGGTAACTATAAAACTAACATATTCTACTTATAGTTCTATGACTAACCTGCAAAATCACCATACACGCCACACTCCAAACCGTAATCACCGCATTCTTGTTGTGCAGCTCGACGACATGGTGCGCGAACTTTTTGATCTCCAACTTCGCTTGATTGTGCAGAACGAATTGTGAATCTGGCTGACATACGAACGTATTTCGGTGCAAGCTAACCCCAAAATGGTCGCGGACCGATATGGGGTCACCGAAAGTGAGGAAACAGGATCCATGAGGATTATTGAGAATTTCTCGAGCCTTCAAAAGTGCTCCAGTGGACTCTTTGGGTTTCGGAAAACCGAGTAGCTCGTAGGCGTACAATTTTTCCTCAAGGATTTTGTCATAGTTCATGGAGACTGGAACAATGACGATATCGTAGGCGGAGCCACGAAGATATGGTTCTAGAATCATCTGAAGCATTCCGTATTTTGGGTGGAGCGATTTTCCGACTCGTGACCGCGTAGCTTCGACGAAGAATTCAACGGTACGGTCGTTATTGACGACGTGGGTTTGGACGTATTCAGAGAAGACCGCCCAGTAGAGTTGGTCCTGGAAATATGGTATCTATGGTATCTATGGTATCTATGGTATCTATGGTATCTATGGTATCTACGGTATCTATGGTATCTATAGTATCTATGGTATCTATGGTATCTATGTTACTATGGTACCATGGTACCACAAAAACTCACCGTTCCAAACGATCTTCTCATGAAAAATGCTCCAGATCGTCTCAAAACGCCAGCCATAAACTTCATACTCATGAAATCTTGTCCAGCGGCGATAGCGGGAAGTTGGATGTCCTAAAAAGTAAAGTTTAGTACACTACCATTATGGTATCAAAGCGTTTAGGAATACCATTTTCACATATGGAATGAAAAGTCCAAAAGTACCATGATTGTGCCATGGGGCTTACTTTTACACTATGGTACTCATTTTGCCCTGCTGTTAATGTTGCCGTGAGACTTATGGTGATATCGTACCATGGTATCTATGGATATGGTATGGGATACTATGGTACCATTGGTTTTCATGATATCTATGGTATAATGGTACTTATGGCACCAATCCCATTTTTTCAAAAACCAACTTACATACTGAAAACAGATGAGTGAAAGCAACAAAAAATCGAAATACGTCTTGTGAGAAGGCATAAAAATCACGGAATTCGTTTTGGAGATTTCTCGAATCTCCAAAAGCTTCTGCTCGTTCACAAATATCCCATCGTACAGTTTTTCCATCGCTTTGCACACCGCGTAGCCAAATGAACGAACGTTTAGAAGATTGAAAGTATGAGACATTTCATCCAAAAGCGACTCCACCTCCTTTTTGACGTCTTCTGGAGCGCATTTTCGACGCAGGGTTTCTTCACTAATGACGCTCTGAAATTGTTTCAAGTTTTTTGAAAAAGTATCTGAAACCCAACATTTCTATTCAGTTTTCAAGTTTCTAGGCCTTCTAGAACTCTAGACATAGTCATTTGAAGGCGAGAGTCGCAGACGACGAGGCTCTCTAACTGTCTGCGTCTCTTCTAAACTTCAAATGGCTGTATCTCAGCTGCTAGAAGTGCTAGATACTTGGTTTTTTGACAGGATTAAAGATAAATTTTTGAATTTTCAAACAAAATGAAAATAAATAAAAAACTTTGGAAATATTTTTTCTCCAAAAGTCTCTAATTGCAATAACATTTCTGATTGCAATAACATTATTATTTTTCATAAATTCCGGTCCTAAATCCTACACGGATCATTTCTGTGCAGTTTTCAAGTTTCTAGCTCTTCTAGAACTTGAGATAGAGCCATTTGAAGGCGAGAGACGCAGTCGACGAGACACTCTAACTGACTGCGTCTCTTCTAAACTTCAAATGGCTGTATCTCGGCTCTCAGGGGGTCTAAAAACTTGGTTTTTCGACAGAATTAAAGATAATCTTTTGTATTTTTGAATAAAATAAAAAACAAAAAACTTTGAAAAAATATTTTTTCTCCGAAAGTCTATAGCATTTTTGTTTTTTTAGAAATTCCGGTTTTAAATACTACAGGGATCATTTCTGTGCAATTTTCAGGTTTCTAGCTCTCCTGGAACCCGAGTTACAGCCACTCGAAGTTTTGAAGGCAAGAGACGCAGACCACGAGACACTCTAACTGTCTGCGTCTCTCCGAAACTTCAAATCGTTGTATCTCGGCTCTCAGGGGGTCTAAAAATTTGGTTTTTTCTATAGAATAGTTTCGTTTTTCCGGCTTTTTCATATTCCAAAATCTTTTTTTTCGAATTCCGAACAATTTTTTGCGGAGCCGAATTTAAATTGTCATAAATCAAAGAATTCTTTGATATATTACTGATAAAAAATTGCCGGTTGTAGTCTTGGAACTAACTCCTTTTTGAGAATACTACGAAAAAATTTCAAGTGATAAGAGTTTAGAAAAATATAGATACATTTCTTGGAAACTTTTTTGACTAGATTGTACTCAAATTCGAATTTCTGTGCATTTTGTCGTAAGATATGGTGCCTACGATAAATGTGTTCTAGAGTGGTTTTTGATTGGAAATTGGATTTTGAAAATAATAATTCCCAGAAAACGAAACTTACCATGACTCTCGGAGATACCAACACAGATTTTCGAATTTCCGCCAAACTGCGGGTTTTTGGCGCCGTGCCAACTTTCGAGCCGACTGGAAATCTCTTATGGGCGGTCACAAACTTGAATGGACCGCCTTTTTCTCGGAGATGGTCCAAAAAATTGGTGTATTCCGGGAAATTGATTTGACGACCGGTTTGAGAGGGTGGCGACATTTTCTCTGAAACATATATTCGGAAACTAGGTCATGACCTAAAAAAATCTAGGTCGCGACCCAGAAAAATAGGTCATGACCTAGAAAAAAGTGGGTCGTGACCTGGAAAAAAGTGGTCGTGACCTGGAAAAAACTGGGTCATGACCCAGGAAAAACTGGGTCATGACCTAGAAAAATCTAGGTCGCGACCCAGAAAAATAGGTCATGACCTAGAAAAACTGGGTCGTGACCTGGAAAAATTAGGTCATGACCTAGAAAAAACTGGGTCATGACCTAGAAAAAACTGGGTCATGTCCCAGGGAAATTAGGTCATGACCTAGAAAATCCAAAAAAAAAATAAAAAAACTTCAAGACATCTGGATATCTGGAAACACGGAAAATCGGAGGGAATAGATTGAAAAATTCCTTAAACCCTGAAAATGTTGGATAAAATTTCAACGAAATTGTGAAAAATATCTAGAATTTTCCCAGAAATTTCAGGATTTCCTGAAAATACTGAAAATCAAAAATTATTCAAAAATTCAGAATTTCAGAAAATTCGTAAACACCTGAAACTCCATAGAATTTTTTTTCTAATTCAATGTTTTCGAATTCTAGAAAAATTTTTTCATAACAAAAGGATTTCTCTGAATTTCAGATTTTTCAAAAATTTCCATCAAAGTGCAAAGAATGCCCCAATAAAATTGGGTACACTAGGTCAAAATCACACCATGTACAGAGAAAAAAAAGACAAGGAGAGAATAAGGCAGAAAACGATAAAAACTGATAAGGGAAAAGTTGCAACGAGAGAGTGAAAGACGCAGCGAGACGCAGAGAAAAAGAGCATGCCATTCTCCAACCACTTTATTATCACTTTTTCTCCTCAAAAAATGACATGGAAACGAAAATTCCAAGAATAAAAAAAATGGAGAATTCTAATTTTGTGGAATTGGTTGAAGCGTGGGACGGGCTTGAGACAAGACATGGTCCACGAACGAGCAGGTGACGTCACACATCAGACGGCGAGAACGACAATATTTGGCGGCGAATTCACAGTAGGAGGCCTGAAAGTTAGAAAATTGTGTGAATTTGGGACATTTTACAGAAAGTTTGATAGTTCTAGTGCAATTTTGAACCGAGATATAGCGATTTGAGTTTTGAAGGCTAGAGACGCAGACGACAAGACACTCTAACTGTCTTCGTCTCTTTATTCTTGTTTCTCTTACTTTCTGCTCCATTTTGGTGCAAAAATCAAGTTTCTAGCTCTTCTAGAACTCGAGATATAGGTGTTTGAAGTTTAGAAGAGACGCAGACAGTTAGAGTGTCTCGTCTTCTGCGTCTCTCGCCTCTAAATCTTCAAATGACTGTTACTCGGGGTCTAGAAAAGCTAGGAACTTGGTTTTTCGACAGAATTGAAGAGAAATTTCCGAATTTTCAAATAAAATAAAAACTGAAAAAAAGCTTCAAAAATTATTTTTTTTTCAAAAAAAAATTTTCCCAAAAACTTTTTGAAATGTGGATTTTTAAGAAACTCTGATTTTGAATACTATAGGTACCATTTCTGCACAATTTTTACGTTTCTAGCCCTTCTAGAACTCGAGATATAGGCATTTGAAGTTTCAGGAGGCCAGAGACGCAGCGTGTCTCGTCTTCTGCGTCTCTCGCCTTCAAAACTTCAAATGACTATATCTCGGCTTTCAGAAGGCCTAGAAACTTCGTTTTTTAACAGAATTGAATAAAACATTTAGATTTTCAAAAGAAACAAAATTTTAATTTTTTTCAAAAAAATTTTTTTTTGAAAATACGATTTCTTTTAGAAATCTCGATTTTGAGTGCCATAGGTACCATTTCTGTACAATTTTCACGCTTCTAGCTTATCTAGAACTCGAGGTACAGTCATTTGAAGTTTTTGAGAGACACAGATTGTTAGAGCGTCTTGTTGTCTGCGTCTCTAACCTCGAAAACTTCAATTAGCTGTCTCTCGGCTCCCAGGCGGCCTAGAAGCCTTGTTTATTAACAGAATTGTATGAAAACTTCTGGATTTTCAAATAAAATCCACATTCTGAGAAAGTAGAAAAAATTTTTTTCAAACATTTGAATTTTTGAAAATTTCGATTTTTGTAGAAACCCCAATTTTGAATGCCACAGGTACCATTTCTGTACGATTTTTACGTTTTCAGCTATTCTAGAAGCCAAGATATGCCCCTCTAAAGTTTAGGAGGCAAGAGACGCAGACAACGGGACCCACTGCGTCTCTAGCCTCCAAAACTTCAAATGCATACATTTCGGGTTCTAGAAGAGGCAGAAAATTGGTTATTTGACCGAAAATGTGAATTTTGCTGCTCTTGCAAATCAATAATTTGCCAAATAACTCACAAAAATCACAGCATCCATTCTAGTGAACATGTTGGCGATGGTCGAGAAGAACTGCTCACAAATCACAGCCGAGTAGCGAGCCCACGGATAGCAAAGGCGTACGAAAAGTGCAATGACACGTGGAATCAGAATTTCCAGATTACAAACGGCCACATAGCACAGAATCATTCCAAAGAGGATTTTCGAGAATTTCTGGAAGAATTTCAGTATTTTTGGGTTTCTAGGTCATGACCTCAATTTTCAAAAAATTGCTCACCGGATTACTGCGGAAGAAATCGATAATTCCGGTAAAGAAGTTTCCCAACGATTGAAGGCGATGCGTAGAGTTGAAGGTACGGTAGGTACCGTCTGTCGAAGGACCGCCCGACCCATGGGATACTGTAGAACGTGGAATTGAGTGGAGAGATGAGGAACGGTCCGGATTGGTGGAATAGGTGTAGGACGAAGGTTCCGAGATTGAGCTAAATCTTTTTTTTTGAGATTTTCGGAATTTTCAGAATTTCAGAATTTCAAAGATTTGAAAATTTCAGATTTTTTGACAATTTTTGAAAATTCTGAATTTCGAAATTTTCAGATTTTCAGAAATATTTACAGATTTTCAGGTATTTGTTTTTCAGATCTTCCGATTTTTGGAAATTTTGAAAATTCTGAAATTTTAAGGTTTTATATTTTCAGAATTTTTCAAAAATTCCAAAATTTCGCTTACTCCTGACAATCCGATTCTCCATAAACTCTACGACGATCCACGTGCTTTGTCACAGTGACGTACTCTTCAGCTGGACCGCCCGAAGACGTGGTTCTTCTGGAGCGATGACGTCGATGGCGATGACGATGTCGTGGCATTGCCAATTCGACAGTTGGAAATGTCACTTGGTAGCTGAAACAATTTCAGGAAAAATTGACCAAATTCGGGTCATTTTGAGGCAAATTATAATCATTTTTTCGAAAAAAAAGTTTTTTTCAAAATTTTTTCGAATTTTCAAAAATCTAGAATCTCACCAAAGATCGTCAGCAGAATCATAATCAACATCGTCAACAGTTGGCTCCAAATTTTCACCAATTACCGATTTTTTGACGGTCGTACATTTGAATGTTGCCTTGGTTTGAACGGATGAGGAATCTGAGCAATCCGATGGATAGAATCCAGATGGTGGATGACTGAAAATTTTGACTTTTGGAACTGTTTTTTGCATTTTTGAACTTTTGAAATTCTGATTTTCTGAATTACTGAATTTCTGATTTTCTGAATTACTGAATTTCTGAATTTCTGAATATCTGAATTTCTGAATTTCTGAATTTCTGAATTTCTGAATTTCTGAATTTCTGAATCTCTGATTTTCTGAATTTCTGAATTACTGAATTACTGAATTACTGAATTTCTGAATTTCTGAATTTCTGAATTTCTGAATTTCTGAATTTCTGAATTTCTGAATCTCTGAATTTCTGAATTTCTGAATTTCTGAATTACTGAACTTCTGAATTTCTGAATATCTGAATTTCTGAATTTCTGAATTTCTGAATTTCTGAATTTCTGAATTTCTGAATTTCTGAATTTCTGCGTTTCTGAATTTCTGATTTTCTGAATTTCTGAATTTCTGAATTTCTGAATTTCTGAATTTCTGAATTTCTGAATTTCTGAATTTCTGAATTTCTGAATTTCTGAATTTCTGAATATCTGAATTTCTGAATTTCTGAATTTCTGAATTTCTGAATTTCTGAATTTCTGAATTTCTGAATTTCTGCGTTTCTGAATTTCTGATTTTCTGAATTTCTGAATTTCTGAATTTCTGAATTTCTGAATTTCTGAATTTCTGAATTTCTGAATTTCTGAATTTCTGAATTTCTGAATTTCTGAATTTCTGATTTTCTGAATTACTGAATTTCTGATTTTCTGAATTACTGAATTTCTGAATTTCTGAATATCTGAATTTCTGAATTTCTGAATTTCTGAATTTCTGAATTTCTGAATTTCTGAATTTCTGAATTTCTGAATTTCTGAATTTCTGAATTTCTGAATTTCTGAATTTCTGAATTTCTGAATTTCTGAATTTCTGAATTTCTGAATTTCTGAATTTCTGAATTTCTGAATTTCTGAATTTCTGAATTTCTGAATTTCTGAATTTCTGAATTTCTGAATTTCTGAATTTCTGAATTTCTGAATTTCTGAATTTCTGAATTTCTGAATTTCTGAATTTCTGAATTTCTGAATTTCTGAATTTCTGAATTTCCGAATTTCTGAATTTCTGAATTTCTGAATTTCTGAATTTCTGAATTTCTGAATTTCTGAATTTCTGAATTTCTGAATTTCTGAATTTCTGAATTTCCGAATTTCTGAATTTCTGAATTTCTGAATTTCTGAATTTCTGAATTTCTGAATTTCTGAATTTCTGAATTTCTGAATTTCCGAATTTCTGAATTTCTGAATTTCTGAACTTCTGAATTTCTAAATTTCTGAGTTTCGGAATTTCTGAATTTCTGAATTTCCGAATTTCTGAATTTCTGAATTTCTGAACTTCTGAATTTCTAAATTTCTGAGTTTCGGAATTTCTGGAATTTTCACCTTTCATCTTCATCATTATTTTGAAAGATCCGTCCCGATGAGGATTTATGCATTTTTGGTGTTCCTTGTATTTTTTTGAAGCGATTCAAAAAATGCTCTTCCGAAAAGTCGATACTATCAAAAATGAACGATTTTTCTTGGATTTTTAATTATTTGGATTTTAGAGCTTTTATAAAATTTTCGTTTTTGGATCAAATTTTGTGGATTTCGATTTAAATTGGTTACTGTAGAAAATCACGCAAAAATCAATTTTTGTTTGTGTTTGTCTCTGAAATTCTGAAAACTCAGAAATTTCAAAATTCGGAAATTTATAAATTCAGAAGATTCCAAGAAATCTCGAAAAATTCGATATTGCTCAGTCCTAATTCTTTATTGCTAATACCAAAATTTTTTCTATTTGTCGTATGACAAATCTTGGCAATTAACAGAACAGAAATGTTTTTATTTTGTTTGTAAAGTAATAAAATGGGAAGTAGGTGATAAGAAGTTTTGAAATTTCACTATTCCTCATTTCTGTATTATTTCCAACCGAAATTCCTCTCACTTCTCCGTTTTCCTTTATTTAGAATTAACGGTTTTTTTAGAAAATGAATTGCTCAAACTGTCACCAACGATACAATGATGGCAGTCGACTTGCTCGAGATTTATCATGCGGTCATACGATGTGCCATAGCTGTTGGATTCGAAACTCCGATGGTGTTGACGTTGTGTGCCCATTTGACAACGAAAAAACTTTTTTGGGAAGTAAGATTTTTGAAGATAAATTTGCAAAAAAAAAATTAGAAAATTAGAAATATGAATTCCGTGCAAATTTGGAGAAAATCGGACTACTGGGAGCCGAGATACACTTTTTTGAAGTTGCCGAGGGCTGCGGCGCTGTCGCGTAGCGGTGTTGAAGTCGCGTATGCCAATAAAACTGAAGACTTGATTTTTGACTATTATCATGATCACAAAAGGCTCTACGTTTTCTGAAAATTTCGAAAAATTTGGAGAACTGGGAGCCGACATACACCCATTTGAACTGGCAAGGGTGCGGTGTAATCGCGTCGCGGCCTACTCCTTCAACTTCCGAAGGATGTATCTCAGCTTCTAGCTGACCAAGGAACTTAAAATTCGGTACATCAAAAGAACATTTGCTTTTATAGGTTCCTTCAAAATTTAAAATTTCAAGAACTATCTTAAGCTGAGCAATGACGCTTTGAAAATAATATTATGATTTTTTATAGATTTTGTGCAGTCCATAAACGATGAGATTCTGGCTCGGCTTTTTCCCCCTGAGGATTCTACTGATTCTGAAGACTCTGAGGACTTTGAGGATTCTGATGGATCCGAGAATAAGGACTCAGATGACGACGGAGAAGAAGACGTCAAAATCGAACATCCAGGTTCTGACGAACGACACGAGAAGTCTGAGGATTCTGAAGACTCTGAGGACTTTGAGGATTCTGATGGATCCGAGAATAAGGACTCAGATGACGACGGAGAAGAAGACGTCAGAATCGAACATCCAGGTTCTGACGAACGATACGAGAAGTCTGAGGATTCTGAAGATTCTGAGGACTCTGAAGATTCTGAGGACTCTGAAGGTTCTGAGGACTCTGAAGATTCTGAGGATCCCGAGGATGCGGAGGAGGATTCTTATGACAACAGTGATTAAGTTTCCTGAAGTTAATAAAGCTTGTTAACAATAATTTATTCAAAAGTTTGGACCCGAAAAATGGCGGGAGAGGCAAAGAATTCAAAATAAATAAAAATCCAAAACGTCCCATATTTTTTTCGGGACAATAGTCATTCAACGATATATACAAATATAGAAAAAAGATAAAGAATACAGTAATCCTCAAAACTGCTCATCCTCTGCCAACACATCCTCTCGACGCACAGAATATGTATAACCCGGTGTCTTTGGCTCCAATGTATCCATTTCCATGCGAATCCACGTGGACCCCATTGCCAATGTACTTGTCTCCACTACCGTAGTACTGGTAGCTACTCGGTTGAGCTTGAGCATAATAGTTATTGTAGTAAGTGTTGTAGGGACTACGGTAACCTTGATAGATGGTCTGGTAGCGAGTGCCATAGGGATTACGGTAGTTACCGTAGCCCTGATAGCGGTAGTGTTGGTTACGGTAGTGCTGAGCAATCGTCACAGAGAGAATGCAAGCGAGAATGAAGAAAATACGAGAAGAGAACATTTTTTGGTATGTGATGAACAAATCAGAAATGTTCTAAGCTTATATAAAGAACATGGGCGGAGTGGGAGGATCAGAATGTGTTAAGCTTAGAGGATAAGAGATAAGAGATATGGAGAGACGCAGAGAACACCCGATGAAACGAGCTCATGATCGCTTTTGTCATGTGATACTGTAGCCTGGGAAGGATAGACAAGATCTGGAGGAATGTGGTAACAAAATGGAAAAGGGTTAATTGGAGTAATTAAGGCAAATTGCATTTTCGCTAGTTCCAAAAATCTTTTTTTCAGTGTTTTAAAATGTTAAAAGGCTGTTAGTACATAGTGGATTAACAATATTCAAAAAATAGAGCAAAAAAGAAGTGAACCGCAAGAGGGATCGAACCCGGGACCTTGCCTCCCTTCAGCTCAATTATCTCGGTTCACACAAAATATAAAAAAAATTGTCAATTGATAAAATGTTTATCATGGTATCACCAACATTTTATCTGTTGACACATTTTTGATATCTTTTATGGAATCCGAGATAATTGAGCTCAAATTATAGGGTGGCGTTAAAGCTAAACTTATAAGTTAACATTAGCTTTTAGCTGTTCCAAAACTCTAGAATCCATAAGATTCAAATTGAAATTCAAATTTTCCAGATTTCACCTTTAACTTGAAAGTTTCCAATTTCAGAACTCTTATATTCAAGTTTCCTTTAGATTCTAGGAATCTTGGGATTCCATGGTCCACCAAATCTTTCTCCGGTTCTCTCTCCTCTATCCTATGAATAATATTTGCACTCCGTCATAGTCATCTATATATCACTTTCCAGTTTCCTCATTGTTGTTCTAGTGCTTAACCAAAAAAATGACGACAACTTGATCGGTCAATTTTTTGGTATTGTAAAGCTTCTAACACCTTCATTAGAACGTGAAAATTACAACGAGCGGGACGGGGAAAGAAGATTATAGTTTTGAAGCGCTGGGCCAGACTGACCGGACCGGGGGTGTATTAGAATGGGTTCAGCTTAACGTTCATGGTAAAGCTGATGCTAAGGTTGAGGTTAAGATCATGTTTAACGTTGAACTTGTTTTCGAAGGTGAATTAATTCTTAAGGTTCAGTTAATGCTTACGGTTTAAAATAAAATTAAACGTTGAGGTTAAGCTAACATTTCCATTTAAGCATACTATCATCGTTAAAATAATGCTTGAGAATAAACTAATGCTTAGAATTGAGAAAATGGTAAACGTTGAGATTATGCTTACAATTAAGCTTGTGCTTAATGTTAAGATAATGCTTAAAATTGAGCTAATGCTCAAGGTTAAGATAATCTTTAGGGTTTAGCTACTGCTTGAGGTTAAACCAATTCTTAAGGTTTAGCTTAAGGTCAAAATAAAATAATGGTTTCGCTAGAGATTGAAGTTAAGATAGTATCTGCAGTAATGTTCAAGTTTGAGCTAATGCTTACGGCTAAGCTAGTTTATAAGGTTACGCTAATTGCTGAGCTAAATTCAATGCCTAAGGTTAAGCTAATGGTTGAGGTTAAGCTAATGCTCGAGTCATCAGAAAGTGTTAGAAGAGTCACTCGCCAAAAGTTGGCCTCTTTCGGACCAGAAGCAGGTGAAATGTGTTGGATTGGCTTAAGATTAAAAATAAACTATTCGAATGGGTTGGTGGGGGCATACATGTTAAAAGAGAAGCCAAGGAAATTGAACGGAGCGACCGGATCAGAATTGGAATGTGTTAAGATGAAAAGTGTGAAAGATTCAGAAAGACAGAGATAAGAAATTGAAAAATAAGGAGCTCTAGGCTTGTGATAGGTAGGTTTGGATGATAGACGGAATCTTTATGGATAAATTGGTTGATTATATTCTGACAGTTCCAATCAGCTTATGGGATTCGAAAAGCTTCTGAGAAAAAGTTGTTAAATAAAAAACGAAGCTCCTAATTAGATTTGGTTCGAAATATCTGGAAAATTTCAGACCAAACGGACAAACTTTCAGTTTTCATTTAGGTGGGAAAAACACAAAGCGAATAGCTCGGTTAGAACTGAAAATGATAATGTTCAAAGTGTCTAGAAATAATGTTGATTCGTGGATAATTAGACTTAGCAGCCATGGAGGTTTCATAGGTCGTCGAGCTCAATTTTGAGGATCTAGAATAATAGTTTAGTCCAATACACGATCGGCTCAAAAGTTTATGAATCTGAAAAAAATGTAAAGTGTTGAAAACTGTCTAAATCAAGAACGAAACAAAAACTGCCGACACAAATTTGCACTCAAAGTCAGTTTTGATAGTTTGACCTGTGGGGGAGGTGTCAATTATCTTGATCGGTCAAAGTTACAAGTTGACCGGTCAACGCATCTTTTTTAAACAAAATTACTTGTTAGTTCTGAAAAAAAGTTTATATGTAAATTGTCAGAAACGTTTTAAAAAGAGGATTCTAACAAATATTCCATAATCCAATTGATTGATGTTTCGAAAGAGTCCTTTACCGGAGGGCCTTTTCCAGATGACCAATTAGTGTCCTTCACATGCTCCACAGGTCAATATTGCTCATTATAAATCTGTCACCTGTCTTCTGAATTACCCTCAATTGAACATTTTTTCCAGAATATTCTTTAGCTGTCCTGCAATGTTTTCGGCTCTTTTTCGTCTTTATTGTCCATTTTCCAATTTTTTAAAACTTTAAATTTCAGCATGATGCCGTCATAGACTTTTACCGTAACCATCTTTTAATACCCAAAGTGTGAACCCCCTCCGAGAAAAACCAGATATTTGGTTTGAGTGTCGGTTGATATTGAAAGAGAAAAGTGTCTCTTTCTCACCACAAATAAACAGACTACGGGGGACGAATTTTTACGCTTGTTGGGAGAGGAAAATCATGTACGCAAAAGGAAACGAAAATTCGAACAAGTCATTTTGATCAGGGTGCCTAAGCCGCGGACGACGACATTTATAGCCTTGGCTAAAATCAAATTCTTCAGAAGAAGGGACCCTAGAAATATTCAGATTTTCCAGATTTTAAAAGTCTCGACCTGTAAAACCATCTGTGTATAACCAAACGCGTGTGGAAGATCAATTTAACAGTATTCCACACAAATCAGAATTGCTTCTTTTATTTTTTTTCAGATTCATAGCTTTTCTTGTCCCTCAAAACTTACAATGTTAGATTAAAACTCAAAAATAACAAATTTCGTTAAAAGTTCGGAGTCCCTAACGCATTTCTGAGCCGATACACAGCGATTCAAATCGCAGGAGGTGGGAGACGCAGACAACGAGACACTCTAACTGTCTGCGTCTCTTCGAAACTTCAAATGGCCGTATCTCGAGTTTTAGGAGACATACAAAAATTAATCTTGCTCGGATTGAATGAAAATTCGAGGTACACTACGCCCATGTATTTTCAGAAGCATCAGAATTTTAGCTTTTTCTGATTGATTTTGAAAATCTCGGGACACACAATTTCTGAGAAAATTGTTTCGAATCTTCTGAAAAATCAAAGAAAGGTCTCGTTTTCTTCAGACTAAATTTGTTATTAATCATGTTTCAGGTAATTAAAAAAATTGCAGTGAATTTTTTTTTTTGGATTACTGTAGCTCAAGAAAAAAGATTTTTCCCAGAAGAAATTTGGACGTTTGCTTCATTTCTTATCGTTTTTTGGGAGAATCTTAATTGTCGAAGAATTGGTTTGAATTTGGAGAGAACTGAAAATTCAGGAGTTACAAAACGATGCAAAAGTATACATTTATATATGGTTTTATAATTTTTCTGATCAATAGGAATTTTCGAATTCTGAGTTCCGTTCTCTGAATCGCGTTTCTAGCCGTTGATACTCTAAAAGAATGCCCCTGACATCGTCAACTTTGAGCCGATGTACCTCATTTTCTGTAAAATATATGAAAAGTGGTAAACTGACAAACTTTTGTTTTGATAACATGATAAGCATTTTATCAGTTAAATATATGGGTTTCAAGTTGAAAGTTAGGATGGCCATTCTATTGGAGTGTTCACTGTATATGTAATTTGCTACTCATTACAATTAGATCTCGAATTTCAAGATTCTAAAATTCCAAGAATCCAGCAAGGTAAGGATTTCAGACAAATCATGGGCCAAAATTGAGATCCTAAAACTTTGGTATTGGGTGCAGTACTGTAGAATGTTTTGAATAAAAGATTCAAGACGCTTCGAATTTTGTACCTCTTCATCTTCTGCTTTCCCACTTATATACCCCATGTTTATCTCTTCCAACTTTGGTTGTTCAATCTCAAAATCTTTTTTGCACACACATCATTCGAAATCCTTTATTCCGCCTTCTTTTCTCACTATTTGCACCCTCCGATTCTTATCCGAAAATGACATCATTCCTTTTTCTTTATTCCAAATCATTTCTGGTTCTTGTCTTATCAGTTGAACAAGAAGAAGAAGAAGAAGAAGGATAGTCGACGCGAAAGTTCGGAGATCAAAAATAGAAAGCTTCAGATGTCTTCAGATGACGTGAAGAGATCATCTGGAGATGTTGTTGATAAGGGGCGGATGGGTTTGGGATATAAGAGAGCAGTTTTTAAATGGAACAAGGGGAGAATTGGTTGTGAAAATCTTTTAGAAAAATCCTAATTTTCCATATATGTATAACATAAACACTATAGTAGAATGCCCCTTCTCAAACCATTAACTTTGAGCTCATATATCGCCTTTTCTGGCAAAGATATCAAAAAGAAATTAACTGATAAAATGTTGTTGATATTATGATAAACATTTTATCAGTTGACAACTTTTTGATATCTCTCACAGAAAATGAGTTATATAGGCTTAAAGTTAAAAATATTAGAATTTTCAGGAAATTGTGAAATTGAAAACGTCTTCTGAATTCAAAAACTCAGATTTTTTGAAAGGATTCACAGTCAACAGGAAGTTTTTGATTTCGCGCCATTTTCTTTTGAAGTTCAGAAGTTCAAAAAATTATAGTTTTCACATTTATAAAAAATATTCAAATTTGATAATCTCCAAAAAAAAAGAACAAAAATCAATCAATTATTCACTGTCCTCATCAGAATCTGGTTGTTGAATTCTGACGCCTTCTTCTTCTTCATCGTCGTTGTCGTCGTCATCTGAATCCTTCTTCTCGGATCCATCAGAATCTTCAGTGTCTTCAGAATCCTCAGAGTCATCAGAATCCTCAGATTCTTCACACTCTTCAGAATCAGAAGAATCAGAAGAATCAGAAGAATCAGAAGAATCAGAGGAATCAGAATCCTCTGAAGATTCAGAATCCTCAGAAGTGTCTGAGTCATCTGAATCCTCTGAATCCTGCGAGTCTACAGAGTCTTCAGAATCTTCAGAATCTTCAGAATCCTCGGAATCCTCGGATTCACGCTTTTTCGATTTTCTGGGATATGCTGGCTCTTGTCCAATCAGGTCCAAAATCGCAAAATTCTTGGTCAGCGATTTGACTCCTCCTGGAAAAATGGACTTGTTGTTTTCAATTAGTCATTGCTCAGCTTATAGTAGTTCTAGAAATTTGAAATTTTCAGAGGTTATATAAGAGTATTCAATTGTTATTTGTATCAAATTTCAAGTTTAAAAATCAATTAGGAGCAGAGATACACTCTTACAAATTTAGTGGGTCGGCCGCGACGCGACCACGCCGCACCCCCATTTAGCTTCAAATGGCTGTATCTCGGCTTCTAGTGGGCCGAATTTGTTCAAATTTTCAGAAAATATTAAACACAAAGTGTTCATTATAATTGCAGCATATTAATGTTTTAGGTTATCTACGCTCCGAGATACGCGCCTTTAAAGCGGCGAAGCGACCGCGTCGTACCTCTATCACATTTTCAAATGGTTGTATCTCGGTTCACAACGGTTCGATTTTTTTTGAAAATTTCGGAAAAATGAAGAGAATATTTATTTTTGCATTTTCGGCTATTATCGACCTTATAGCTACGCTACGCTCCAAGATACGCGCCTTTAAAGCCGCGACGCAAACGCGCCGCATCCCACTCAACTTCAAATGGCTGTGTCTCGGCTTCCAACCGACCGATTTTGATAAAATTTTCACAGAATTTGTATTATCAAAATTTCTATCCGTTTTTCATTGAAAAATTCTGAAATCTCACCTCTCAATCTGGTTACTTTTCTGTCAAACGGGCACACAATCTGATCGTCTTCCTCTTGCTTCTTCAAACACTGATGGCACATTGTATGACCGCATTTTTTCAAAATTCGAGGAATTCGATTTTTTGAATTTCCATTGTATTTTTGAAGGCAGATTTGGCAGTCCATGTTCTGGAAAGTAGATTTTGTGTGAAAAATTGAAAAAAAAGAGCAATAAAAAATTGTTTCGACTAGAAAAACTCAAAAAAAGGGAAGAATCGGGAAATTTCGAAATTTCCTTATCATTTTTTTTCAAATGTCTTTATTGTAAACAAAATGAAAACAATCTCTTTTTTCTTTATTCTTGCTAATTCCAAAATGTGTCATTGAACGAATAGAAGAAATTGACACTAGCAAGAAGGGACAAAAAATATTAAGAATGACCCATTTTTTTGGATTTTCGATAATTCAGAAATTCAGAAATTCAGAAATTCAGAAATTCAGAAATTCAGAAATTCAGAAATTCAGAAATTCAGAAATTCAGAAATTCAGAAATTCAGAAATTCAGAAATTCAGAAATTCAGAAATTCAGAAATTCAGAAATTCAGAAATTCAGAAATTTAGAAATTCAGAAATTCAGAAGTTCAGAAGTTTAGAAATTCAGAAATTCAGAATTTTCCAAATTTTTAGAAAATCTAAAAACTAAAAATTGGATCATTTTTAGCAAAAATTGAGATTTCCATTGTCAGAATACCGATTTTTTTCGAAATTCTGCGATTCAGAAAATCCAAAAAAAAAGGATCAAAATTTCAAAAAATTCAGAAAATCGAAAATTTCGAAATTTCGGATTTTCGGAAGTTTTTAGAATTTTCAAAATCAAAATTCACAATTTTTGGCTTAAATTAATTAAATTTCTGGGAATTTTGAAAACTGTAAATTCTACTAGGAACAAAATAAAGAAAAAGAAAAAAAAACCAAAAATCTCAAAAATCATTGTTTGCCGCCACCACCTCCCAAGCCAAAGCGTAATTCTTTTTATCTATTTGCACATCTGATTAACACAAATCAAACGATTTTGGAGAAATTCAGAAATTCGGAAATTAAGAAATTCAGAAATTCAGAAATTCAGAAATTCAGAAGTTCAGAAACTCAGAAATTCAGAAATTCAGAGATTCAGAAATTCAGAAATTCAGAAATTCAGAAAATATAGTAATTCTGAAGTTCTGAAATTCTGAAATTCAGAAATTCATAAATTCAGAAATTCAGAAATTCAGAAATTCAGAAATTCAGAAATTCAGAAATTCAGAAATTCAGAAATTCAAAATTCAGAAATTCAGAAATTCAGAAATTCAGAAATTCAGAAATTCAGAAATTCAGAAATTCAGAAATTCAGAAATTCAGAAATTCAGAAATTCAGAAATTCAGAAACTCAGAAATTCAGTCAAAGTTTGTGAATGCACTTAAAATTCGGAGAATTCTGAAAATGTAAGAAAAATTAAAATCTGGAACTCAAAAAGATAAATAATTTTTAATCACAAATAAAGCATCATAAATGAAATATTTTCAAACTTTGAAAATGGAAAATAAATTGAAAAAAAGATTATAAATCAAATAAAAAGAAGAATTTAAGATTTTCTACAATTTCAGAAGCGAGTGATCCTTGGCCGCTGGTACAGAAATGAGCGCAGTGATTGCAGAGATTTGGAAAATATTGGAATTCAAATTCTGCATTGGCAGACTCTGAACCAACCGAATCATCAGAATCCTCTTCTTCTTCCGACTCTTCGAAAATGACGGCAAGTTGGATTGGTTGAATTTGCACTTCTGGAATTTTTGAGTTTTCTGGATTTTCAGATTTTTGGAATTTTCGAATTTCGGAATTTTCTGATTTCTGATCTCACATCTTCTAAGATTTCGAATTTCAGATATCAGAATTTTTCGAATTTTCGAATTTTCTAATTTCAGATTTTATGAATTTCTGAATTTCTGAATTACTAAATTTCTGAATTTCTGAATTTCTGAATTTCTGAATTTCTGAATTTCCGAATTTCTGAATTTCTGAATTTATGAATTTCAGAATTTCAGAATTTCAGAACTTCAGAATTTCAGAACTTCAGAATTACTATATTTTCTGAATTTCTGAATTTCTGAATTTCTGATTTTTTCGAATATCTGAATTTCTGAATTTCTGAATTTCTGAATTTCTGAATTTCTGAATTTCTGAATTTCTGAATTTCTGAATTTATGAATTTCTGAATTTCTGAATTTCTGAATTTTTGAATTTCTGAATTTCTGATTTTCTGATTTTCTGAATTTCTGATTTTTTCGAATATCTGAATTTCTGAATTTCTGAATTTCTGAATTTCTGATTTTTTCGAATATCTGAATTTCTGAATTTCTGAATTTCTGAATTTCTGAATTTCTGAATTTCTGAATTTCTGAATTTCTGAATTTATGAATTTCTGAATTTCTGAATTTCTGAATTTTTGAATTTCTGAATTTCTGATTTTCTGATTTTCTGAATTTCTGATTTTTTCGAATATCTGAATTTCTGAATTTCTGAATTTCTGAATTTCTGAATTTCTGATTTTTTCGAATATCTGAATTTCTGAATTTCTGAATTTCTGAATTTCTGAATTTCTGAATTTCTGAATTTTTCGAATTCCTAAAGTTTCTGTTTTTTTCAGAACTTTTAGAAGTCTTAAATTTGCTGTGATGCTTCTGAACTTCTCACCTTCTTGAATTTCCAAATCTTCTGGAACCTGAGTTTCCACGTCTTCTGAAATATCCCAATTCCTCAACAACTCCTCCATTTCCCGTTCTCTCCGATTTCCAACCAATTTCTTCCAGACGGACTGAAATTCTTGAAATCCAGAATTTCCATCAGAATTCGAATTTTCGGAATTCTGAATTCCAGAATTTCGAGTTTCAGATTTTTCCAAAAAATCGATAATCGCAAAGTTCCGGCACAGACTCTCGACTCCTACTGGAAAATTCATATTTTGGGGTACAGTAGTCCATAAAATTACCTGAAACATATGTAACAATTCTGTCAAATGGGCATTTGAGTTTTTTGTAATTCTTCAGAAGATTTTCAGCACACTTCTCACAAATTGTGTGTCCACAGCTTGTCAAAATCCGGGGAGTCAGTTCTGGAAGATTTGGAGAAAATTTTTGGAAACAAATTTTGCATTCCATGGATTTTTACCTGAAAATTTTGAGAATTTGAAGTTGAAAAATAGTAGTTTTTAAGTTTGTCGGAAAATACTGTAAATTTCCTTCAAATCTCACTAAAAAGCACTTTTCTAGCTCTTCTGGAAGCCGAGATACATCTACTTGAAGTTTTGAAGAGACGCAGACAGTTAGAGTGTCTCGTCGTCTGCGTCTCTCGCCTTCAAATGGCTCTATCTAAAGTTCTAGAAGAGCTAGAAACTTGAAAACTGCACAGAAATGATCCGTGTAGGATTTAGGACCGGAATATATGAAAAATAATAATCACCTCGGCTCAAAAATGAGCTAGAAACCTCGAACATTTTGCGAAATTTGTCTTTTTTTGGTTTTAATCTAGAATTTCAGAATTTTTCTAAAGTTTCAAGGCCTAGAAATCTCTAAAAATTGAAATTTTTTTTTGGGGGGGGGGGGGTAAGAAAGAATGTGATTTATCCGCACCTCGCATCGCCTTTTTATGCTCCTCGGCATCTGAAAATTAGCATATTCATATGGATATTCATGCGGTGAAAAACAATAAAAATGACAATAAAAATATTGCAAAATTTTGGAAAGGGGGAGAGATGGTAGAAACTTCTATTGGCTGGGATCAAAAATCTGAATCAAGGTCGAAAATGAAATTTTAGATTTTCAGAATTTTCTGGAAAGCAAAAATTCCGGGTCCTGGGTCCTGGGTCCTGGGTCCTGGGTCCTGGGTCCTGGGTCATGGGTCCTGGGTCCTGGGTCTCCCAAAATTTCTTTAATTCCAATTTTCGAGTTTCTGAGTTTCTAAATTTAAGAATATCAGAATTTCTTAGAACTCTGATTTTTAGAATACAACTTCTGGTGAATCGTAAGTTTCAGAATTTTTGGTATCTCTGAACTGCTTTCTCATCATTTGGAAATTCGGGAAATTCAATTTTTCTGAAAATCTGAAAACTTGGAAAGAATAAAAGTTTTATTTCTAAAAAAACTCGTCGAAAAATATATAAGTTCATACATACAACTGTTACACAGGGAGAAAAAAAGTATGTAATAATACCCGTTCGGACAAAAATATAAATTTAAAAAATTTCAAAATTTTTTAATGTAAAAAAATTCACAAAAAAATTCTACAGTAATCCTTTCAAAAATTGTCTCAAATTGTCTGAAATATTCAAAAATTAAATAAGCAAATCTACAGTAATCCTCTCCAAATTTGCCTTATCCTCTGCCAACACATCCTCTGGACGAGCAAAAAATGTACAATCCCGTATCCTTATCACCCATATATCCATTTCCATGCGAATCCACGTGGATCCCATTTCCAATATATCGATCTTTCCCATAATATGGGCGGAGCCTACGCTGAGGGGGCGGGATTCCCAAAATCCTGTCGAGCACAGCGTATGGTGATGTGAATTGAGGAGCTGGAGCATAGTTTTGGGAATATGATAAGAATTTTGATAATTCTGATAGTAGGACTGTTGATACTGTGGATACTGTTGATAAATTTGCTGATAAGGTTTACGGTAGTTGTAGTATGGATTACTGTAGTAGCCGTTACTGTAATAGGCGTTGTTACCGTAGCCAGAATACTGATAGCTTGGTGGGGTATGGTAGTTACCGTAAGCATGGATAGAAATAATGAATGAAGTAGAAACTAGAAGTATGTAGATCATAGTTTTTTGAAAATATAAATTTTTCCTAATGAAAATTTTTCCGATGAAGTTGTTTACCTAGAATACATTATGTACTAGGGCGGGGAAACACTAATTAGGCAATTAAGACACTTGATTTGATAAGAAGAAGAAAAACTGACATTTCCGAGAAAATCGGTTGAAGAAAAAAATCAGGGAGACCAATAATTTCCCCGAAAACCCCATTTTATTCAAAAACGAATAATTTGAACTGACAGCTACACAGATAAAACATAATCAAAGATCTGAATGTTGCCAGCTAGAAAAAAGAGAAAACGTTTTTGAATTAATTCGAATTGACAATTATTGGGAGAAGTGGGTTTTTCTACTTGAATGATCTGAGATCACTAGAATGTATTTTTTTGAATAATTCAAAATTTCAAAAAACAAATTGGACTCGAACATTTTTGGAAATTCTAAATATGCCAAGTTTTCAAATTTCGAGATTTTTCAATCTGAATTTTTGAATGTTTTGGATTTTTAGATTTTTTGGGAATTTCGGAATTCCTAACTTTTAAAAAATTCGAACATTTGGAAGTTTTGGAAATTCTGAATTTCTAAGAACATCTGAAAACTTTGAAACTTCAAAATTTCCAAATATTCTAATTTCAGAATTTCAGAATTACAGAATTTCAGAATTTTTCTGAAATTCTGAATTTCTGAATTTCAGAATTTCTGAATTTCTGAATTTCAGAATTTTCGGAATTTCTGAATTTCTGAATTTCTAAGAACATCTGATCTTTGAAACTTCAAAATTTCCAAATATTCGAATTTCAGAATTTTTCAAAATTTCAGATTTTCAGAATTTCAGATTTTCTGAATTTCAGAATTTCAGAATTTCTGAATTTCTAAATTTCTCAATTTCATATTTCAGAATTTCAGATTTTCAGATTTTCAAAGTTTCTGAAAATCTGAATATCAGATTTTCTGAATTTCTGAATATCAGATTTTCTGAATTTCTGAATTTCTGAATTTTTGAATTTCTGAATTTCTGAATTTCAGAGTTTTAGAATTTCAGAGTTTCAGAATTTCAAAATTTCAGAATTTTAGAATTTCTGAATTTCCGTATTTGAAAATATCTGAATTTCTGAATTTCTGAATTTTTCGAAATTCCAGAATATCAGAATTTCAGATGTTTTCGAAATTCCAAAATTTTGAATCAGAAACAATTCAAAAAATCAGAAAACCACAATATAATTATATTCGGATTAACTCTAAATTGAAGTTAATTAGCCGCCAATTTCATTTTTCAAAAGAATTTTGAAATTTTTTGATGTTCTGAAAATTTTTCATTTTTTCGAATTCTGCAAATTCATTTCTAAATGTAAGTTTCGAAATTTTCGAATCATTGGGAAAATACTTTATTATTATTAAACCCGTTTTTCGGCAAAAAAATATATAATAAAAAATTAATTATCGGGCTAATTATCCTCTTCCAGGGCATCCTTTTCCATTGCAGAACAAATAAATTCCATTGTCCTTCGTTCCAACAAACGAGTTTCCATAAGAATCGTAATTAATTCCATTACTACTGTAGCTGGGAGCCGATTGACGCATTCCACCGAAAAGTAGGTCAGCTAGCGATGGTTGGAATCTTGGAGCAGGAGCTTGCGTAGCTTGAGCATACTGTGGATAGTAGTAGTTACGGTATTGGTTGGCACCGTATCCCGGGTACTGGTAGCCTTGGTTACGGTAGCCATTGTAGCCTCGATTACTGTAGTTGTAGTTGTTGTAGCCGCGGTTATTGTATGGAGTACGGTATCCTTGATAGTAACCTCCTCGATTGTTGTAGTTTGTAGTCTGATAGGCGTTGTATCTCGATTCAACTAGCGTAATAGTGATCAGAGAGATAGTGATAAGAAGCAGAGAATTAGAGAAGGAAGACATTTTGGGTGGGGGGGGGGGGGGCTGAAGAAATGGAAACTTTTTGGAAGCTTTTATACACTTTCTGTTCTTGGGAGGTTAGAGGGTTTCGAACGAAAGGGGCGGAGCTCGTTTTATCAAGGTTGACTAAACTGGAAGTTTTGGGATTGTTTGAAATTTCTCGATTAAAGCCGGACAATCGAATAACTCTTAGAAGTTTTCCTTTTTTACATTCCTGAACATGCGGTAAATTCCCTACGAACTGCTTCAAAAATCATTTTTCTAGCTCATCTAGAACCCAAGTTACTGCCCTTCCCAGTTTAGAAGAGACGCAGACAGTTAGAGTGTCTCGTTGTCTGCGTCTCTAGCCTCCAGAATTTCAAATGGTTATATCTCGGCTCTCAAATGAGCTAGAAAGAAGTACCTTCGACAGAATTTAAGGAAATTCCGTCTACTATTAAATTGGTTTCTTTTTGAGTTTTGAGTTTTCGGATTTATTTGGAATTTTTTCCCATTTTTGAATGCAAGTTTTTAAAATATTTGATTTTCAAAAAATAAATGTTAAATTTCCTACAAACTGGTTCAAAAACCACTTTTCTAGCTGTTCTAGAAGCCGAGATACAGTCAATTGAAACTTTGGAAGTGAGAGACGCAGACAACGAGACACTCTGACTGTCTGCGTCTCTCTGGAACTTCAGACGATTGTATCTCGGGTTCTAGAAGAGCTAGAAAAGTGATTTTTGGAGGGTTTTGTAGGCAGTTCAAAGTGTTTTCAGAAAAAAAAACGATAATTTTAAAAATTAGAGAAAAATTGAGAAATTGGGTACCAGATTTCAAGAAACTCTAAAGTCTCAAAACTCAAAAAATCAGAAATTTAAAATAACACATTTTTCAAAAAATTCGAACGTTCTAGCGCAATTTTCAGCTGTGATATAGTCATTTGATGTTTAAGAGGCTAGAGACGCAGACAACGAGACACTCTAATTGTCTGCGTCTCTCAGAAACTTCAAACACCTATATCTCGAGTTCTAGAAGGGCTAGAAACTTGATTTCTGAACCAAAATGAAGCAGAAAGTAAGAGAAAAGAAACGCAGACAGTTAGAGTGTCTCGTCGTCTGCGTCTCTCGCTGCCTTGAACTTCAAACAGTTGCATATAGGCTTCTAGATAAGCTAGAAAAGAGCAATTTTTTGGGAAATGCTTAAAACTTAATGAAGTATTTAGAAATTGAACTTGCGAATCTGAGGAATATAAAATTCTAGATTTTCTGAAAATCAAGATAGATCACTTTTTAAAATGCCAATTTTTTTCTTTTTTCCATTTCTGGATTTAAATCCAAATTTTCCTTTTTTTTTCGAAAAAAACGTTTTTCTTTTTGCACCCCCCCCCCCCCCCCCCAGTGATAAGAAAAGCGCTATCACTCGTGTCACAAACCAGATTCCAAAGATTGAAATGTTTTGGTGGTGATACGAATTGGCTTGTTCTTATCCTAACTGATAAGGAGAAGCATATTGATAAGAAGAAGAAGAAGAAGCCTGTTCGAAGTTTTCCCATTCCGATTTGCTGAGATCATTGACGCAAAAGTTCGCAGACCGAGCGGCTAACCAGCTGGTAGGTTTTAGGAACCTGAAAAAATTTGGTTGGTGATAAAAAAAACGAGATAATGGGATATTGATAAGGAGAAGCGGCTTGTATGCGATAATGTGAACGATAGACGATGAACCCGAATTCTTTCTAGGTGACGTGATAATCCGGAACGAATAGAAGGAGATGGAAAACTTGAAAACGTTGGAGACAGAGAGGATGGGTGCAGAAAATTGAAGATCACAAGATTAATTTTACAGAAATTTTAGTCTTTCTAGCTTACATAGAATCCGAGATATGATAATTTGAAGTATTGGAAGCTAGAGACGCAGACAACGAGACACTCTAACTGTCTGCGTCTCTCTGGAACTTCAGACGATTGTATCTCGGGTCCTAGAAGAGCTAAAAAAGTGATTTTTGGAGGGTTTTGTAGGCAGTTCAAAGTGTTTTCAGAAAAAAAAACGATAATTGTAAAATTAGAGAAAAATTGAGTAATTGGGTACCAGGTTTCAAGAAAACTCTAAAGTCTCAAAACTCAAAAAATCAGAAATTTAAAATAACACACTTCTCAAAAAATTTGAATGTTCTAGCGCAATTTTCAGCTGAGATACAGCCAATTGAAGAGTAGGAGGCTAGAGACGCAGACAACAAGACACTCTAACTGTCTGCGTCTCTCTGAAACTTTAGACGATTGTATCTCGGGTTCTAGAAGAGCTACAAAAGTGATTTCTTGACAAGTTTATACGAAATTGGGAGAATTTGGAGAAAAATTCAAATAATTAGAAAGAAACAAATTGGAGAATCTCAGAGAATTTCTGGAAAAGTTTTTAAAAAGTATTTTAAAGAACTTTAGGTATTTTTTGAGTTTTCAAACGCCAGAGAAAATGTAAAATTCTAGATTTATCAAAAAGTTTGAAAGTTCTAGCGCAATTTTGAGCCGAGATATAGCCGTTTGGAGAATACGAGGGATATGCTCACTTGAAAATTGGGAGGCTAGAGACGCCAGACAACGAGACACTCTAACTGTCTGCGTCTCTTCGAAACTTTAGACGATTGTATCTCGGGTTCTAGAAGAGCTACAAAAATGGTTTCTTGACAAGTTTATAGGAAATTGGGAGCATTTGGAGAGAGACGCAGACAACGAGATATTCTAACTGTCTGCGTCTCTCCAAAACTACAAATGGCTGTATCTCGGCTTCTAGGAGGTCTAGAAGAGTGATTTTTAGTGAGATTTGAAGGAAATTTACAGTATTTTCAGAAGCTTTTTCAAAAACTGGAAACGTAAAAAATTTCAGAAAAAAAAATTATGGTATTCTCTGAAAATAAAAATTTTAGGTTCCTGGAAAGAATTATTTTCTTCTAGATGTTACCATTTTCCGTTACACCCTATCAATCACTTTGTTCTTATCAGATTAGAAATCGGTAAAGATTGAATCTTTGGGAAATTGTTGGGTACAAATTGTATCATTCAGGCACAATGGATGAGAGGTATGCAAAAAAACACACCGCTAACTTTCAGCTAATTTATCTCGTTTGCTCTGAGAGATATCAAAAAGTAGTCAACTGTTAAATTGTTTATCATAACATTACCAATATTTTATCATTTGACCACTTTTTGATATCTTTCTTAGGAACCGGGATAATTGAGCTCAAAGTTGGGTCCTAAAAACGTTGTTTCGAAAGTCAAAAATCCTGACGAATGGAAGACTGAATCCATGAAAAAATATTGTTCTGTTCTTATCAAATTAAGAAGGCAAATCAATGTCACTCATTTATAAACGCATCACTCCTTTTTACTAGATTCCAGTTTATCTTTTTCTACTCAATGAACATATAGATGTTGCTGATAAAAAGTGATAATCAATCATTTTCCGAATAATTACAAAATGAGAAAAAAAGATGAAGGAAACTTCCCATATTTTTGTTTCAATTTGAATCTATGGTTTACAATTTAGGTTCATCCAACCATATGATCAAATTTGGAATTGGGAGTTCAAATTTCACGATTTTCTCAAAATGTTTGGCTTTCTAGGGGTTTCTAGAATTTCAGATTTTTGAGAAAGTGTAAAATTCTATATTCATCGAAAAGTTTGAAAGTTCTAGCGCAATTTTGAGCCGAGATATGCTCACTTGAAAATTGGGAGGCTAGAGACGCCAGACAACGAGACACTCTAACTGTCTGCGTCTCTTCGAAACTTCAAATAGATGTATCTCGGGTTCTAGAAGAGCTAGAAACGTGATTTATTTTTCGAAAAACATTACTGAATCTCGGAATCTTATTGTGTGCCAAAGTACTGTATATTTGTAACTTTCAGGTCTCAAAAATGTTTTTGAATTTTTGAGTTTTGTTGATTGTCGTAAAATAGACTAAATTTCCTTCAAGTATGTTTAATAACTAGCTTCCTAGCTCACCTAGAAGCCGAGATACTGAGATTTGAAGTTTCGGAGGTGAGAGACGCAGACAACGAGACACTCTAACAGTCTGCGTCTCTTCGAAACTTCAAATGGCTGTATCTCGACTCTCAAGAAAGCTAGAATGCTAGTTTTTGCTGGAAATAAAATCAAAATTTGAGAATTTGAAATTTAAAATTTTCAAACTTGTACCATTTTGGACTCCAAATCTTTCATCTTCTTTTTTCCTTCTCTTATCAATCACCTCTTTTTTAATTTTTCAAAAAACATTGAACCTGTTAACTACTTCCAATTATTCCTATAAAAGAGACCCCATTATTCCATTCCATTAAAAAGACAATAAATGATTTTGACCTACAAAGCCAAATAATAAGCTCCGCCCACTCGAACCTGAGACTTCAAAAAACCAAACACGTCATTCTATGGTATAAATAAGCCTCAGCTTCTCCAAGATTTCCATCAAAACCTTTAAGCTCCGCCCACAATGTCAACCCTTACTATTCTTATCGCTATGGCAATGGTTTTGATGGTATCAGCGGGACCATACGGATACCGAAATTATGGATACAACAATGGCTACCGTAACCAGTATGCTACTCCAAACTATTACAATCGTGGATATGGATATCAAGGATACCGTAGTCCATCCTACGGTAACTATAATTATAATAATAATTACTATTATCAAAACTCTTATGCTCAACAACCCAGCTATTCCTATTCGAATGGAATTAATTATGATTCTCAAGGAAACTCATTTATTGGAACAAAAGACAATGGAATTTATCTATTCTGCAATGGAATCGGATGCCCAGGAAGAGGATAATTAGGGATTAATTAGCCCATAATTAACTTTTTGTATATATCTTTTTTTTTCCTAAAAACGGGTCGAAATTTTCTAATAATTTTTGCTCGCTATTTAATAAGTTTAATAATAAAGGTTTCATATTAAAAATTCCAATTAGGTTCTAAAACATTGGAAAATCTGAAAAAATAATTATAGACTGATTAACTTTAACTTGAGTTAATTCTTTCGAAAGTTAGAAGTTTCAAAAAAAAATTCAAAATTTCTAAAAAAAATGAAATTTCAAATTTCTGGCTATGTTACTTTTTTTCAAATTTCAGCTTGTTAGGGGGCTTGAATTTTCTGAATTTTTGAGAGGAAATTCTAGAAGAAATTGAAAAGCTACAGTAACCCAAAATCCGAAAATCCAAAAATTGGAAAACGCTACAGTAACCCAAAATCCGAAAATCCAAAAATTGGAAAACGCTACAGTAACCCAAAATCCGAAAATCCAAAAATTGGAAGTAATCTACAGTAATCCTCAACTACAGTAGTAAAGAAAAGTAGGGAAGTCTAGGAAAAATTGAAAACTATAGTAACCCAAAATCCGAAAATCTCATAAAAATTGGAAATCGCTACAGTAATCTTGAACTGCAGTAATCCAGAACATTTGGAATTTCTCGAAAAGTTCAAAGTTACAGTAATCCTGAAATCCAAAAATCTCATAAAAATTGGAAAACGCTACAGTAATCTACAGTAATCCTGAACTACAGTAGTAAAGAAAACTAGGGAATTCAAGAAAACTTGAAAGTTACAGTAACCCAAAATCCAAAAATCCGAAAATTGGAAAACACTACAGTAATCTACAGCAATCCTGAACTACAGTAATCCAGAACATTTGGAAATTCGAGCGAAAATGGAAAAGCTACAGTAACCTAAAATCCTAAAGTTAATTTTCTAATTTTTTTTTGTTGGTTTTGAAAAAATTCCAGAATATTAGGGGGCTCACTTGGGTTCAAGCGAGGGGGTCAGAAAAAGCGCCCCAGCAAACTCGTAGGCCAGAAGAAATTTAATAATTTTAAAATGAACGCGGGTTTGAACTAGATCATGATCTATTTCTTAAAAATCAACGAGCTGCAACGCGCGTATTCTCGCTCATCGTTTAAAACTGTGATACCCAGCCAACGAAGTTCGGCAGCGAATTGAGAATTTTCGAAAAATTTACTGGGGCGCGCTTTCTGACCCCCTCGCTTGAACCCAAGTGCCGTAGTGTTTCTGGGGCAAGGCCTCGAAAATTGACCGGGAACCGCCCGCGAAATTTTCCAGGTCCCACTTTTTTTAATTCGACAATACAGTATGCTTCAGAGCTTCAAACTGTTTTTTTTCTGAATTTCAAAAAGGGCGTTTTCATGAGTTCTGTGCATTACTATTTTCTTTTGTTTGCACTTTTAAGATTTTCATGCTTATTTTAAAGTCTAATCAACACCTGAAGGTGTTAAATGACGCCGTCAGCTCGAATTTCTCGTTAAAAAAGTATTTTTTGCCGAAAATGCAAAGGCGCTCTATCGCTTGTAATTAGTACTTCTCGCGGAAAAGTCAAAACTGATTTTTTTCGGTTTAATTTTTGAATTTTTTGACTAAAAGCTGAATTTGAAA